CCGCTTTCCCCTGCCCCACCCTATCTTCAGGGAAGGTGTGTCTGAAACCAGCCTCAGGGTGCAGTCAGACTACACCACCAGAGGCTGGCTTCAGCGTTCCTTTCCCTCCTCGTGCGACCACCAAGACCAGGTTCAGATCCAATGGGAAAGGGAACCAGAGGGTGCTTCAGCTTGAAATCTTAGCTCAAATGCCACTTTCTCAAAGAAACCTGTGTCCTAAACTCCCAGATATATCTAGTCCCGATACAATTTTTATAATGCCTCATATTTATCCTTCATAGTATTTGTCCCAGTTTGTTATTATCTATGTGATTATTTCATTACTCATATCGCCAATGCTAGACATGAGCACACAGGGCAGGGACTGTGATTTCCTCATTATTATACAGCACAGTGTCTGGCACACAGCAAACACTTGGTAATGCTCAACATATTCATTTACTTGATCATCAATAAGGAAGAATCCACGATTAGTACAAGCCATGGTTCCAGGGGTGAAATTCCTTACCTATCAAGCTCAGCTTAGGAACCAGGTACATGTCCTTCTCATTAATGACGAGAGTGGGGGCAGGCAGCGGTGGCCCAGGCTCTGACTTCTCAGTGGCAGGCACCAAGGGGCAGCGCTGTACAAAGTGCGTGTCTGCCAGTCGCACAAATGTGTTTGATACCTCAGCATAGTCCATGGTCTTGCTATCTGTACAACGGCAGGAAAGAGGTAAGTGAGATGGCCAAAGATAGCGGAGCGTCCACTCCTGCAGCTACCCAATCTATGTTTTTGCAAATGGCTGTGGAAATACAGTACTGACCCTCCATGGTCTCTGTGAGCCTGTCTGCTACTTTCTTCACGACAGCTGACATTGTCATTTTGCCATTCAACAGGAGCTCCTCAACAATCAGCTCTCCAGTGTCACTGTACAGGGTTTTGGTAGTATAGATGTAGCGTGGATACCTAAGCATCCGCAACATCCGACCGCATTGGGCTTCGTACTCCACCACACCGCGTTTGTGCACTTGATATATCACCAGGTTATGTTGGATGAGGACACAAAGGGCTTTTTTCACCTAGACGGGACCCAAAAGAAAGAGAAGACCTGAAGACATAGCTCATCATTGCTGGCAATTTCTTTTCAATAGCTTACTAAGAATGAGGAGATGGCCAGATAAGAATCTACATACATATCCCTTCTCCCCATTGGGGTAGCTAATAAGAATTACCCATCAACAGAAGAAATCAGGAAGTTTCCTTGCTATGGTGCTTATATTTCAGCGCTGTACAAAGTGCGTGTCTGCCAGTCGCACAAATGTGTTTGATACCTCAGCATAGTCCATGGTCTTGCTATCTGTACAACGGCAGGAAAGAGGTAAGTGAGATGGCCAAAGATAGCGGAGCGTCCACTCCTGCAGCTACCCAATCTATGTTTTTGCAAATGGCTGTGGAAATACAGTACTGACCCTCCATGGTCTCTGTGAGCCTGTCTGCTACTTTCTTCACGACAGCTGACATTGTCATTTTGCCATTCAACAGGAGCTCCTCAACAATCAGCTCTCCAGTGTCACTGTACAGGGTTTTGGTAGTATAGATGTAGCGTGGATACCTAAGCATCCGCAACATCCGACCGCATTGGGCTTCGTACTCCACCACACCGCGTTTGTGCACTTGATATATCACCAGGTTATGTTGGATGAGGACACAAAGGGCTTTTTTCACCTAGACGGGACCCAAAAGAAAGAGAAGACCTGAAGACATAGCTCATCATTGCTGGCAATTTCTTTTCAATAGCTTACTAAGAATGAGGAGATGGCCAGATAAGAATCTACATACATATCCCTTCTCCCCATTGGGGTAGCTAATAAGAATTACCCATCAACAGAAGAAATCAGGAAGTTTCCTTGCTATGGTGCTTATATTTCCTCTGATCCTTACCTTTCAGAGCATGATTTACTTTCCTTCTATTAGTCTCACTCCTTAGAGATGGTCCTGAGTTTAGCACACTCATTGTGTATAAATGAGGCACAGCATGGGAAGAGCAAAGATTTGCCCAAGAAATTCCAAGGGACTAGAAACTCTGACAATCAGAAACTTTTGGCCTAAATCTCATCTAGTTTCTCCTACAAATGACATTGTTCTGATCCTAGGGCAGGCATTCTCCAATTTCTGGAGTGTAGAATAACAATATTTAAAGGTAGGTGAAAGAAATAAAAAAAAGAGAAAATTATTGTCACTTAAATGTACCTGATCCAGCGATGTTCCTGTGTCATGGGCAATTACTCTAAGGGGCTGGCTGCCAGTTCTAATTAGGTGGACTCCAATTTTCTCTACAATCTCTCCAAAATGCTCTTGCAGCAACAATGAACACAGTTTAATCTCTGCTTGAGTCATAGTACTAGAGAATCCTAGACCTAGAAAAGAAAAAAATGTATAACAAAAAGTTTTTCTTTCATGCCAGGAGTAGAACTGCTGAATGTAACTCTTTCTGGAGGGCAATTTGATACCACATATAAGAAGCCTTTAAATCTTGCATATCTTTTATTTTGGATACTCTATTCTGAGGAAGTAACAAACATGCCACTTTATAATACTGACATACTGGAAACAAGCTAATCTGTGATAGTTATCATATACCCAAACAATGGAATACTATGCTGTTCTAGTTTGTTTTATGAACAAAAACAGAAAATACCTGAGCCAGGGTGATTTAAGAGAATAGAGATTTATTCTCAGGAGGTCCAAATCTCAGGACCACAATTGGTGGGAGGTTCTGCTGAATTTTGATTACATAACTAGAAGGAGAGCAGAGCTGCTCATTTTGTTTTGGTTTCCCCTGTAATAAATCCACCAGAACTAATCACAGGGGTCCCACCCTAATGACCTTAATCTTAACCTCCTCCCATAAACCCCACCTTTGGACACCACAATTGGGTCACGTTTTCACTCTCTTAATCCTGTTACAGTGGCTCAACACATGAACATTGGCGGACATACTCAAACTAGCAGATGCCAGCACCTAAAATGATCTAATATAATATATATTAGCATAGACAATAAATTATTCACAATGTACTAAGCGATATAAGCAAATCTTAAAGAATAATGTAAAGTTCAATTATTATTTAAAAATATGTATGCATAGATAAAAACTACCAGAAGACTATATATTACATTTATCTTTATGGGATTATGTGTGGTTCTAATTTGCTTTAAAGACTAGGTGAAGTTGATTTTGCAATCCATGACAGACCTTCATTGCTTGGAAGAATTAAGCTCACTGTACACAGCCTAGAGGGAGTGAACAGGGAGTTATTCCCAGTGCATAAAGGAAATGACAATTTAGAAAAAAGAAATTAAGAGGTAAAGAATTTCTCCATAGAGTTTTAAAAATTTTTTTAAAGAACTCTTTTTATTTTATTTATTCATTCATTTATTTTAATTTGACCAGAGAGACACTCCGAAAGAGAGAGAGAGAAAGCCACCAGGTCCAGGACTTGAACCATGGTCAGCCATGAGGGAGTATCCAGCGTCTTAACCACCACGCCACCCACTGGTCCCATCTCCACAGAGTTTTTCAAATAGGAAGTTATGTTGTTTGCAGAGCAGTATTTTAATCTCAATAGTTCTACTTCCTGAGAAAGCAGACACATGAAAACGTGTCAGATTAAATGATTACTTCATTACAAACTACTACCAAACACTGTTCATTTATTTAATCCAGTTCGTTCGAATGCAAGTCTTACAAGGCAGTTTCAGTATAACCAGAGAACCTATTTCACTCATCCACGTGTCTTTGAAGAGGAATCGCTAGACCCCTTAGCCCTCCCAGCAAGGATTTTCAGGGCGCTGGGCTCCGGAATATTCACTCCCTTCATGCAGGCTTCCGTTGCGTACTTGGTCTCTGGGTACCGTCAGGGCCACCTCGCTCAGAGGGATTTTTCACTAACCTCAGGGTCAGTGCAATCCAGGCTGTCAGCCTAAAGCCGCCAAGTCCCCAACTAGCCTTCCAGTGGCTCCCGCTAGCCGCCGGAGCAGAGGGGGAGCTCACGGCCCTGGCTCGGATGAGGATGGCCACCGAGCAGGACGCGGACAGGAGCAAAACTCGTGCCGCTCTACCCCAGCCTTTCGGTGGTTTCCGGGGACGCTCTTTCTTTCTTCTCGCTGGGAGGTTGGAGGACCGGCGAGGGGCTGTCTGAGGAGCCAGCGGGCGGGCCGCGGCGGGCAGACTCTCCTTCCGGCGCCTCTCTGGTGCTGGGAGGCGGGCCGCGGGGTGGCCGTGCGCGTCGCCGCCTCTGTGGGTCCGGCGGACTCACGTGACCAAGGCGGCCTCTGGAGCGGCGGGGGGC